ACAGTGTCACTGTATCAAAAAGAAAAAATTGGTATTCAAGAAGTAGCATATGACAAAGAACAGATGGTACTGAAGGAAGAAATCTAAGATGCACTGAAGATGTTGGCAAAAAGCAAGGCTCAGGAATTGAAAGAACACAAACTGAAATCTTTCAACAAACTGATGTAGGACAGGAGGCGTTCACTCATCTATGCCTAGAAATTTGGAAGAGAGCTACCTAGCCAACAGACTGGGAAAGATCCATATTTGTGCCCATTCCAAATAGAGGTGAACCAACAGAATGCAGAAATCATCAATATAATAATATCAATAATATGGCTGCAACAGTACATCAATAGGGAACTTCCCAAAACTCAATCAACCTTCAGAATAAGTTGTGGAAGTATATATCACAGCTGACATCAAACAGATGTTGGATGAAATCAGAGAGTACCAGAAAGATGTTAAGTTGTGTTTTATTGAATATGCAAAGGTTTTTAACTGTGTGAATCATGACAAGCTATTGATAACATTGAAGAATTGGTATTCCAGAATATTTGATTGTGCTCATGAAGAACCTGCACATAGACCAAGAGGCAATCATTTAAACAGAACAAGGAAATACTGAAAATTTTAAAACTAGAAAAGCTGTGCACCAGGGTTGTATTCTTTCACCCTATTTATTGAATCCGTATGCTGAGTAAATAATCCGAGAAGTTGAATTACATGAAGATGAATGGGGCATCAGGATAAGAGGAAGACTCATTAACTACCTGTTATGTATAGATGATATAACCTTGCTTGCTGAAAGACAGGACTTCAAATACTTATTGATGATGATTAAAGATCACAGCTTTTAGTATAGATTGCACCTCAATGTAAAGAAAACAAAAGTCCTTACAACTGGAACAGTAAATAATATCATGGAAAATGGAGAAAAGATTGAAGTTGTCAAAGACTTCATTTCCCTTGGATCTACAATTAACACTCATGGGAACAGTGGTCAGTAATTCAAATGACACATTGGACTAAACAAATCTGTGGTAAATACACACAAAGGAATATTATGCTACCTTGAAGAATAACAAGGAAGCTATAAATTATCACATAATATGGATGAACCTTGAGGACATTATATTGAGTGAAATTAGTCAGTCACAAAAGGAGAAATACTGCATAGGACCATACTGTAAAAGACTAAGAAAAAGAACCCATACTAAAGGGGG